AGTCAAATAGAAACGGAGAGAGACAATCCGTTTCTATTTGACTTTGTCATAAATTTAGTTCTTGAAACAGCCCTATCCTCGTGTGAGGATAGCGGTATCGATTTACTCCCAGGTGGCAGACTGTCTGATTTAAAGCATGCAGACGAAATCGTGCTACTAAGTGAAAATGCAGGTAAGTTGCAAGCTTTTCTGGATAGTCTAAGGTGATTGCAATCCCCGAATTCTTAGTCTGAATGCAATTCTCTCATCTTTCAATCTACCCCGTCACGCTTTTTCTGTATTTTCCTTTCTTCAGCCCATTTTTACCGTGAACCAGTGTATTTTCCCTCGAAATATCTGTCCCTCTAGTGATGTCGAGAACACAAGTGTGACTTCCAGGCTACTTAAACGGAGTCAAGGCTAGTTTCCACTTGATTTCTTCCGATTCGATATCAATCAAGGGACAGAAGTGGTTCTTTCATAGCTACCATTATAATTGCACAAAATGGTGTTTACTTCCAAATATCCTTACCCAATTACTTTCACCCGTATCTGTTTCTCAGCGTCGCATGAACATGCTGCACCAAGTTTTTGCCACTCGGTTTCCGAATGTCCAACTCAAATTGTTCGGTTCCTGTTGCAACGGATTCGAGCTTCCGTCGAGCGATATGGACCTGTGCGTGTTTTTTCCCCGGGAATCTCGAGAATGGTCCAGCCTGCGTGATGCTGAAGGAATGCTATCAGTGAGTCTTTGCGCCCCCTCCCCCTTCCCCACACACACACACAGACAGGCGATGATGTTCGTTCTCAGCTAAATCTCGGTTAACCCACACGTCTCTCTTGAAATCTATCCTCGGGAGCTCGTTTTATTCCTTACCTACCGTGTGTTCAGTTATGCCCTTTTCAGGAATCATTTATATAACATCGGTTTAGTCCGAACGGACGTTCGTGCCCATCACATGACTGTACCGACCTACTTCACTTGATCTCAATTCAGCTTTTGTGCGTGGACATACATAAAGTTTTCTTCTGTTTCGCTGTTTCTTTCGGACAGTCAGTTATTGGTGATATACTCGTTGAGAGGATTGTCCATATAGCTCTGATCGTACGTATTTTACTTATTTGACCGCGGTTAGCTCCTGGGAGAAGATAAGCCAGGTTCATGGATATCTCGAATTGCCACCGCTCACACTCGGCGGTCTGTGGCAAGATTAGCGCAGATTGTGATCTGGCTTGACTTCCATTGGCATATGCCGTAAACCGAGCGGAGACCAAGGTTTTTTATATCCTCTAGTGCTGGGTCTAGCCAGGTTTTCAGCTGCTCACCCTGTCGACAGCACCAGTTCAAGCAGGGAGGCGGTGTCAAAACAGCTTTGATCAGGTCGCTATCAGACTTACGAAGTATGTAACGAAACCGTTATAGCCGTTGCGCGTTAAGCCCAACGTTGCAGTCCTGCCAACTCAAATCTTACTCGTTCCTACAATCAACCAACCCATCGACAATTTAGTTACACGATCAATCGACAAGTCTGTGTCTAGCGGTGAGATCTCGTACTCTAGAAGGAGCGACCATTTAGTATTATATGATCTTTTAGCCTATTTCCTTGACCAGTGTGCAGATGCGTTCATACACCTGTGCTTGTGTGCGTCAACCGCAACGCTGGACACAAGTGAAATCAGTTCCAGACCCAAAAGGAACCCGTATGTTGTCACTCCAGCCCATTTGTATTGGCCTTAACTCTGTTCACTCGGCTGTCCCTGAACAACATGCGTTATTTACAAAGCACGGATCGGAAGGAGACTGTGTGTATTTGTGCATCAGACTTCCGCCCCAATCTATAATAGTCCTCTGTAATTTGTGACGGTTGATGGTACTACAGTAGCGAAACTGACGTCGCAACTCGGGTTTGTTGAGAATGTCTCTTCTGAAGTCTGAGAGATACCGATGCACACATTTGCGTTCCCTGTGCTTATGGTTTATATATATATATATATATATATATATATATATACATATATATATATATATCACGATTATGAAGAATGCATGAAGCTCTTTCCAACTGTTATTCTGTTTTTGATCTCATCCATGCTATTCCATC